TGAAAGATAATTACCTGGTGCTGAATATCACCAAAACCAAGTGTATTTTGTTCTGCTCACAGAGGCACGGTGAACGAAACAGAGCTCTTACAGTGAACTTCTTCGGGTCATGTATCGAAAGTGTTATCACTTTTAAGTACTTAGGTGTAGTATTCGATAGTCATATGACGTGGAAAGATCAAGCGGATCATGTATACAAAAAGGTTGCAGTACGAGTTAATGTCTTACGGCGTATTAGAACATTTCTAACGGAGAAAGCAGCAATACATGTTTACAACGGTATTATCCTGCCAGTGTTCGATTACTGTGACATTACCTGGAGTAGCCTTCTGCAACAAGACGAGGACAGATTACAGCGATTGCAACATCGCGCCGCAAGAATTATAACACTGAGTGAAAGATCATCCGAAGCGATGGAAAAATTAAAATGGTCTTCATTGAACTGTAGACGCTCTTACCATAAAGCTATATTAGTTTACAAATGTCTACATTCTTTAGTCCCGAATTATTTTTTAAATTATTTTAAGAAATTTAGTAATGTACATAGCTACAATACTAGACACAAAAATAGGCTAATACTTCCCAAAGTTAAATATAATTTTGGAAAAAATACTTTTATCTTCAGTGGGGTGCAGGTTTATAATATGCTCCCAGATCACGTGATGAAGGCTGAGTCCATTCACACGTTCGCACGTCTTGTACGAATTGTGTGTAATGAACTTTCTTATTGATGTGGAACATGGAAGTGACGGAACTGATTGCGACAATATTTTGTACTTTTATATATCATACCTTAAAATGTAATTCCTACAAATAGCTTATATCTAGACACAGGGCCCCTATGGATACCAGCCTTCGTGTTGAAAGGGCCACCCTGTTTAAATAAAGTTTTTCCATTCCATTCCAATTATAATGTACATGGGTTTCTCTGTATTCTAGGTGTCCAGTATGTGGAAACGGAGAAGAGCCAATATGGACCAATCAAAAGTGTCTATGTAGAAAGATAAACAACTGTGGGGTGCCACCAGTGTGTGTCACTGGACGTAGAGGGTCCCAATGTGACCAGCCTGATTGTTGGCCTTGCCAAGGTACAGTAAACGTGCCACAATTAAACCATGATATTTATATTCCTTAGTATTTTGAGCTTTTTGCAAAAACATAATTTGAGATTGCAAACCTTGACTCCTTTACTCAGTTTATTGGTCCTTTACTCAGTAGAAAAAGACTTTTACGTTTCGTACACGTTTTGTTATTAGACACCTTAAGATTGACGTTTATTTTATTTACGCCTAACCGCAAATCGCGGTTTGCCGTTAGCGGTTTCACGTTTGCCGTACTTGCAAGTATGAAATTAAGATTGACGTTTTTCTTCGCGTTCAATTATTTTCCGTCGAAACTATAGGATCCATTTGAATTGTGCCATCCTGTCAAAAAAACAAATGTCACTACCAATTTGTTAAAATGAATTGAAATATGAAACTATACATGTAAGTAAGAAATATGCAAGTATATATGTTTAAACACAAAGGTCATCAATGATTTTGAACTTGCTTTATCGTGAATGTTCAAATGTAAACGTTTATTAATTAAAACGATTCAAAACACGACTTAAAATAAACAAATCTCAATTTAAGAAATTTATCATACCAAAATCGGCCACAAAATATTGAACTGACAATCGAAATTTTCATGTTTGTTTAACCCAAATAAATTAGAGAGTCGAATTTATACATGGTTCGGTTAAAAGCACTCAGAATATGAAAACTTTCCTGTTAAAAACAAGTTTTATCCATCCAAATCAAAGATAAGATGTATATTTGTCTTAATATCATTCATATACGTGCAATGAAGTAATAACAGTTGAATAAAATGCTGAGGTAAAATCACTTACCTGTAGAATGCACTCTTGAGGTTTAAAACGTCAGCGATTTACGGTGAACGTGACGGCAAGCTCCTGGTCACGTGCAGGTTAGACGTTTGCGAAAAATACGTCAATCTTAAGGTGTCTATTGATTCAACTTTTCATGCATATACTGTACAGCCGCCGGACATATAAAATTTTCAAAACCACACGGTCCACGCTGGCTTCATCCCTCCCAAAACATAAATTATTGAATGAAAATATTTTCTGTGAACCATAGTACGGTTCATCTACCATACTAATTGAATCTTGCAGGATGTTCGGGAAACGGTGTTTGTGTTACTGATTCCTCGTGTCGATCAAGATGTTTGTGTCGAAGACGTTGGCAAGGTCGATGCTGTGAAAGACGTAGGCGTATTTGTATGTGCGGAGATCCACATTTAGAGACACTCGATGGTGAGTACAATGTGTGATTTTGGTGCAAATTTCTGTCAGAACAATAATATGTAGAATAGAAAGGCAAAAAAGTGTTACAACAAGAGCGGCGGCAACAAACTCAACAGTAACAACAGTAAGAACAACAAACCCAACATGCAGTAGGCTAACAACAGCGACAGCAAGAGCCAAAGAAGCCGAAAAGAAACAACAGCAGTGACAATGGCAGCAGTAACAACTGCGCCAAGAACAGGAACAACAGCGACAAGTGTATAGCCACACACCAGCAAGAACAGTAGACTGCTTTAGCAAACACAACGCGACGTCGACGAGGACGTGAAACTGGCGTGGCACGTGGAATTTTACTTCCAGTTTAGTCTGGGACGTCGTTCATGTTGTAGTTTTTCAGAGTGTTTTCACGTCCTCTCTAGAACGTCACAAATTTATGCTTGTTTTTAAAACATCTGGGAGTATATGCACCATTTTGTTCCCCATATTTTCTTCAATATTTGAAGCGGAATATTGTTTTGATTGATAAGTTTGTGTTCTTATATTTCGCTGAGTTTTGGAAGCGTTGATTTTTGACAAGTACTTTCATTGCCATAACAAAACAACAGGACAGCAAGCATTGTTGACCACTTTGACACTGCTTCTATTTCTGGCCAAAAGACACAGTTTAAAGCACAAAAACTGAAATGTAGCAATACGACTTTAAAATGAAGAAAACAGTTGGAATATAGAATAATTAAAGCACTTAAACAAGTAAAAATGGGATCAATTTTAGCTTTTTGGCTTGAAAAAAGTCATAAACAAAATTGAATTTCACCAATGTAAACTCTGATATGCCTATAATATTAATAATAGCTTATAGAAAGTCGATTAAATCAAATAGAAACCGAAGAATTTAACTCGTGAACAATACCTGCAGCTTTTGTCCGTATGAATATGATGGGGACTTCAACAAGTTGGACTTGAACCCTTTGTGTCGCCGTTTCAATCTACGCAAACAGGTCAAGTCGCCCACGAGAGGAAAAAACATTTTGGACCAGATACTTACCAATATGTCGGATTTGTATGACGAAGTTCTTCACATTCCACCCATCGGACGTTCCGATCACCAATGTTTGATCTTACCACCCAAAACAAGACAGAAGATGCCCCCAGTTTCAAAGAAATATCGACAAATGAAACCAGAGAACTTAAACGTTCTGGGACTGAAAATGAATCTTGAAGACTGGGAGAAAGTATATTCCGAATGGGATGTGGATGACAAGGTCTCAGTCTTTAACCATATCGTTATCTGTATGCTTGATGAAGCCTTACCCGTGAGAACAGTTCGCGCACACTGTACGGACAAACCGTGGATGACCCCCAATATTAAAGCGTTGATAAAAGCAAGACAGAGAGCATTTACGAAAGGGGAGACACCGAAGCATAAAAGTTTACATGCAAAAGTTACCAAGCTGATATCCAACCATCAATCCAATCCCGCCAAATGGTATAAAACGATTTACAAGCTAGCGGCAGCAACCGAAAATCAACAATCTCTGTCCTCGCCTGACCACGCTGACCTAATGGAAATCGCTGACAGACTACAAAGAAGTTTTACTAAGCCTTGGCTAGGAATTCAACCAGATCCTCCCAGACTTCAAGCGGTAGAGCATTTGCTCAAGGACAGCCACCCACCTCTACCATCCATTGGCCAAGTCAAAACCGTCCTAAAACATCTAAATCCTAGGAAAGCCACTGGGTCGGATAATATCCCTGCATGGTGTCTTAAACGGTACGCAGAAGAATTAGCACCAGTGGTCCACGATATTGTGGTTGCAAGCATAGTTCAATGCAAATATCCCACCTCCTACAAGCATGCAATCATTAGTCCCATACCAAAGATCCGTCCACCCACAGACCTAGATAATGACTTCCGCCAAGTTTCCGTGCTACCACAACTAGCAAAAGTTATCGAGAAGCTACAGCTGCAACTCAATAAATCCAGTTTCAAGATCAAAACAAACCAGCACGCCTTTACGAGCGGTCACTCCACCGTGTCTGCCCTTACCTCCATATCTCAGAACTGGTTCGACTCAACGGACAACTCCTCAACCGGTAGACAAGGTGTCCACGCCCTATTTGTTGATTTCCGGAAGGCGTTTGACTTGGTCGACCATAAGATCCTTCTGGACAAGCTTGCTGATATGAATGTAACAAGGAGTTTCTGGTTATGGATAATGAGTTTTCTGGAGGGAAGAACACAACAGGTAAATCTCCAAGGTGTACTATCCTTTACTGCATCATGCCCAGCCGGCGTCCCTCAGGGATCTGCTATCTCGCCGACCCTATTCAACATACACATTAACGATATGGAGGAAAATGTTTCTGAACAGGCATGTGTCAACACAATCAAATATGCGGACGATTGCACCATGGATACGTCCATAAGATTAGGAGAATCTAGCGATTTGCAAAGCGCTCTGGACTCAGTACAAAGTTGGGCTGTGGAAAATAAAATGGAACTGAATGCCAAAAAGACAAAAGATATGTGGATTAACTTCACCGAAGCACCGCCCCCTCTACCACTGCATATAGGAGATGCTATCATAGAAAGAGTCGATAATTTTAAACTCTTGGGAACCTGGTTTCAAAAGGACCTGAAATGGAACAAACATGTCGAGGATACCACCCGCAAAGCAGCTAAAAACCTGTACTGCCTACGAGAATGTAGAAGAGCGAGTCTACCAGTCGAAGTGGGTCTCACCACTTATTTAACTAAAATCAGGCCTATCCTTGAATATTGTTCTCCAGTGTGGGGTGGTCTGCCACGATATCTAAAGGACGAATTGGAACGTGTGCAAAGGAGGAGTCTACGAATTATTGGCCTCCCGCATGGTTACCTGCCAACTCTCGAAGAGAGAAGAATTGAAGCCACATCGAGGGAACTCGTTAACATCTTAGGTGATCCAAGTCATATCTTTTATCAACGAACTATGGAACATAATAAACATAACTATAATCTTAGGCGTAGAGACGGTATATTTAAATACGCACCTTTCTCAGGCACTGAACGACACAGAAATAGTTTTGTCCCACGAGCAATGAGACAGGGGTTGCACTAAAACCAAACTTGGTTTTATTAACTTTTTAAATAATTTCCTAGACTTTTAAATTTTTTACTCCAAATTGTATATATATAAATTTTAGATAGTTTGTAAATATTATTGCATGCTTAGTTATGCTCTTCTCTTTTGAAAGACATATTTGTAAATCCATTGTATTTTTAAACTAAAGATGGATCAATAAAATCATCATCATCATCATGCAATAAAATTCACTTGTTCAAAAACAACAAAATATACCAGTTTGTTTAAAAAATTACTTGCTGAATGTTCCTAGAAAATCCTTAGATTTAGACCTGTACAACAGAGCATTTTATTGCACATACCAGAAAAAAAAAACAATTGAAAACGATAAAGAAATATGGTAGCGGCGAAAAAACAAGAAATCTGCTTCGAAGGAGATAAACACGAAAGTCGCAGATTCAAACCGGAAGTAAACGTGAGGTGTATGATGTCATTTTGACGTCCTGATTGACGTCGCGTTGTCGTTGCTAAAGCTGTCTAGTATCAGGAGCAAAAATAGCATCAGCCCCGAAAGAACTACAACCAGTGGCATAGCCAGCCCAACGATTTAGTCTAGCTATGCAAATTTCAACTCATTATCATTATTAATTTCTTTAGAAATTGATTGTGTTGATAGTTGTTTATAAACATGGCACTATTTGCATAGCGGGACTAGATCGTCGGGCTGGCTACGCCACTGACTACAATTGCAACAGCAAAGAAAAAACCACCACCACAACAACAACAACAACAACAACAACAACAACAACAACAACAACAACAACAACAACAACAACAACAACAACAACAACTTAATTTTATGACTCTCTCCATACTTTTTATGACTCTCTCCATACTTTTTACAGGCATCGAATTCGACTACTTTGGCATTGGAGAATTCTGGAATTGCAAAAGTATCGCAAATGACTTTGGAATGCAAATACGATTCTTTGCTTATAATGGAGCTTCTCTGACTGGGGCAGTTGCACTCAAATTGGCGGACAACGTCGTTACCATAACAACGCCACCTGTCTCTTTACCTGGTGATTTACCACGACTAAGGTATAACGCGGGCACTCAGAGTCTGCATACCTCCAGCAAGGAAATAGTTGCGAGGGATGAACCGGGCGAGAATCATAATATTATGAAAAATATATAATGCCCAGCATAACGTCCGTAGAATATAGCCACAACAAAATGACATTTGGTAATGTTTCGTTTGGGAACTAACGTGTCGTCTTTTACTCCAGACTTCTTTTAGAGTTAATGAAGTGTGATATTAAATTATAAACACAAAGTTACAAGTATAATCTGAGAGTAGGGGGGGGAGGGGGGAGGAGGGTACACAAATAAAATATCTTGTCTTTGAAAACAGGTGGGAAATTTGTCGTCGCTGACCAGAAAATCGAGGGCAGAAACAAAGCCCCATTGCATTTACATTCAAGACAAAGTAGAAAGTTAGCAAGAAGCTGTTTAGCCGACGCTGTTTGCTTTCCATTCAAACGATTCACAAATTAACGGTTATTCTTTTATAAATCGATCATGAATTCCTTATTTTGGGATGATTTTTTTTGTGATCGAGTGATTGGAAGAAGTGAATATGAACATTAAAGCCGTAATAAACGAAGAAAAATGTGATATGAGAATGAAATGTAAGTTCAAATTAATTTTATATGCCTCAAATTTTAATAGGTCTAAGTTCAGAATACAAGCTCGCGAAATTTAACAAATTTTGAAAATATGTAAAAATAGCTTGACTTTGAACTGTATTTTTTTAAAAATAGCCCGTGGCCTCAATTTCAAATATAGCTACATGAAAAGAAAAAACTTTTCGGCGTTTGTAGGTATCAAATATATCGTCAAGAAAATAGGGGCTCACAATATTTTAGCTGAGTCTTGAGACCCAGTTGCTTCGCACGTGTTGTGGTCAAATTTTTGCCAAGAATCAAAGGCCGAAATGCGAACTTCCTTCATGAAAACTGCTTGGAGAAGGGTCTAGTTTGAAAATTTAGCTATTAATTTCAATTTCATGAGCATATTTTGGTTACACTTTAAATATTTTTGTACTTGATGAGATTCAAAATGTGTTGTATATTCAAGCCCAGCTTCAGTGTAATTTTGGTGATGATCGGAACAGAAATTATAGAGATATTTTAAGAACTGGCCGTGGCCTCACAATAAAACTTTCTAAAAATGTTCTCTGTTTCATGTACTTTTATTTGATATCTTAGGTATAAGCGTAAAAATAGGAGCTCATACAGCTTACGAGGTTGTAAAATGCATGACTTGTCTCTATTTTCATGTAAACATTCGAAATTTTTCGACAGCAAAGTAGCAACTGTTTCAGAGCGAATGCACGCGGACAGCACACCAGGGACAATAGCAGGGTACTGAAATAGAACGTCACTAAAAAATACTGTATGATTAATTTAGATCATGTCCATTTTCAACATAAAACAGTCATTTATTTTGTACCAAACATTTGGCAATATTTATACAATTGCGCCTTTTTGCAAACACTCGTTGCGTAATTGCGTGGCTCATTTAGTTGCACGCGCATGCTCGGACAAATTTCCCACCTGTTGTCTTTGAGAACATATATATATATAAACAATCAGAGTGAGAATAAGTTAAACTGATCCTGACAGGGCGATGTTATTTAATTGTGCCTTTCATAAACCTCTTTGCCCTTTAGTCGTTCGTAAAACAATTCGAACTGTGCGAGAAAATAGCAATACTAATATTCCAACATGTTTGGTTGGATGGCAAAATTTGTAATTTAATATCATGTAGTTGGTTACAATTCATTCATATAACTTTGTAATTTTATGAATTAACTCCAAAAATGTCTGTCTTGAGTGAAAGACGAAACGTTAGTTCCTAAATAGAACTTACAAAATATAATTTATTATGGCTATATTATTCCACGGAAATTATGGTGCATGGGCATTGCCATATATTCTGGCATTGGTGTTAATCATCATCCCAGCAAAGGAAGTCAAGTACAGTATTCATTGTCTTCATTCATACATGTATTATAAAAGCATGCATTAATTACGGATTCAGCTTTTATATTTCAGTCCGGGGAAAAGCATGTTAGACAGGCTTTTGCAAAGGTCTCATCTCATTTTCACCGAAATAGAACCAATCTTCGATCGATTTATAACTATTCTGATAGCTTTTTATTTATCTTGCTGACAAGAAACGAAACAAACACACAAGCCGAGGTGAAAATATGCCCTCCTGCCGTAGGAACACTATTCGTTAACTGGAATATGCTCTGCTTTATTTCTCTTTTTTAATATTGGCTAAATATATGTTTCGAAACCATCTGTAAATGTTTTTGAATATATTGTTAAAATTAAAATATATCATATGCTGCTGTCTACATTCCGCAATCAGCTGTAGATTTAGTCTGATTTGTATAATTATTTTATCTCTCTAGAATTAATGGGGCTCTACAAAACTTGTCGACTCATGACATCTTTGCATTTGCCAACGATTCTATAAAGCTAAATGTTTTTAATCCCGGAAACAGAACAGACAGCGATAGTGTGCAGGTGATAATCATGGCGTTTCAATACAAGACCGGTCAGTATAAATCAAAATATTATTTATCTACAGTTTAATTAATTATGCAGGCATAACAAATATCAACTTAATGTATATGTTTCCCAAATTAATTTATTTTCAGGTATTTAACTTGAGATATCGACAAACCTATCTTCTTTGCGGGAAACTTAACAGGTTACCAACCACGTGTAAACTGTATGAATCGCATATTTTTTTCAAAGTATTCGAAAGCCCTAGCTCGTCAATGTGTTCATCATTTATGATGTGTGATCACAAGTTTTAACATATTTAACAGGTTTTAGATATTACAAGCAGGTTTCTGGCTGAATAAAGACTTCGAACTTTTGTTTTATTATTAATATTACACGGTATATATACAGTACATACAGTATTAGCATTTTTCAGTCAAGAAAGGAGAAAACATGCACGAGTAACCGCGCCTATAATGCACGAGTAACCGCGTATTTTCCATGAAAAACAACGGCGACTTGCACACGTTGAATAAAGGGAAAAATACTAATTTCAAAATTAAGCAATGAAAAGTGCTATAGTAAATATAATAGGGATTGCGTGCTATTAACATCATGAACCAATGTCATGCAAAAAAATGTTACCTGGAAATGTTGTAATGAATTATTGACATTACTGACCTTTATTATATGGGAAGCATCACTTCCGGTAAAATGGCGGACTGTGATTGGCTGAGAAGCATTTTCAGCTGTCATTACTGATTTTCCCTTAATGAACTGGCGGTCCATTACGTATAAAAATAAACGCATGCATTTTAAAACAAAACAGAAAAACTGATTGAAAATTTGATTATTATTTATATTAACTTGTTATTAATAAGATATCTGCGAATGGTTTTTAATGGAAAAGAAGGACTACATTGGTACTTCTGTTTTCTACGACCAAATGTGTACCACGCTACTAATATGCATTTCAAATCAAGCATTTCTTGTTTGTTTCAAGTATAAATGCCATATTATAATAAACCTTTTATTAACCTGGCTTGCTCGTTATGTACAGAGAAATATCGGACCTCAGTCTTTTTGGACAAACCTCGCCCTACGGGCTCGGTCTGTACAGAAAATACCTAGGTCCGATATTCCTCTATACATACCTCACGTTTGGTTAATAAGAAGTTAGTAACGTGAACGTCATATTTGCATGGAGTATAAAATTTATAAAAAGTCATTTTGACAATATACTCTTGATCGCCCATTCTCATGCTGTTTTGAGTGTTTATTCCACACCAAAGTATAACTGGTGTAGATAGAGTATTGCCTCTATTACTCTAGCGTTTTCTTATATTCTTCACCCAAATGATTTTCAGCACAAAGTAGATTATCAATGAGAAAAAAAACAGGAAAAAATCAGAAGAAAAGATGATATGTGTGTGTTGTTGGTTTATATACCTGTTTCCTCCGCAGTGCCAATTATTATAAGATCAGCTAGGTCACTAGCTCTCTTTTCGGGTATTTTTATTAGTGTCGGGAATTTTTGCTTGTTATCCGACAATAACTCACAATGTTTAGATATAACAGTTTTTATAACTTTTACACGAGGAATACAAAAGAAATTTCACTAAATATCTCGCTTCAGTTGATTGTATAAAACGTACGCTCAACGTTGTTTTTACTACAGTCCTACTGAACAGCGGTAACCGGCCTGTTTATATTACTTGGTGTTAATACTTCTAAAATGTACGCACTTTCCAACACTCTCCCCCTATTTGATTAGGAGAGATCAAATATGAACAACTACAACGTCTTAACATTACGAGTTCTATGTTTAACTCTCAAGTTCAAACTCGGCAATGTTCTTGAATAGTTTCTCGGCTTCTTTTGCGGCGTTCCTCTTTGGTCGGAACTCCCTTGCTTCTGCATTCATTGTAACTGCTGGTTTTTTCACTGGAGGATCGTCACATTCCAGCTCCAACGGATACAGTTGTTGGACCGCGCGTTTGAGATAGGATTTTCCGGCTCGTAGTCGCACAGCTCTAACGACACCATCCCGACCTTTAATTGGTTTAACAACAACACCTAGATTCCACTTGCCGCGGTTTCGCTCATCGCTTTTGATAAGTACGACTTGACCAATTTTGATATTTGCTATTTCCCCACCTCGAAGATCATGTCTTTCTCTGAGACCTCGCAGGTATTCGTTAGTCCAACGGGACCATAAGGCGCCCTTGCATCGAGCTAGGTACTTGGCTCGCTTTCTCAACGGATGGTCTTCAATCTCACTAGCATCTTCTTCCGGCAGAATATTGGGTTGTCCAAACATCATAACATTTGGTGTTAAAGTCGGTAACTGGACATCATCTTCTTGGTAAGTTAGCGGTCGATTGTTTAATGTGACTTCCACATCCAAGATAACTGTACTTCTTCGAGTTCGTCCCATCTCAGATTTGCTCGACCAGTCGTCTTGTGCAGCGCTCTCTTAAAATGTCCTACCATTCTCTCACATCCCCCCCCCCCCACCATGGGGCTTTGCTCAAGTTGAATTGCCACACGATTTGTTGATGGGCCAGGTAGTCTTGAAAGCGTTCTTCTTTCATTATATTACTGATCCATTTCGCTGCTGCAACAAAAGTTTTACCATTGTCCGCGTAAACTTTCCGCGGACGTCCCCTTCGTGCAATAAATCGCTTGAAACTTTTGATAAAATTCTCGGTAGTTTGATCAGGAAATAACTCTAAATGAATAGAAAGGGTGAGGCTGCAGCAAGATATACGCTTTACCATCTTTTGTCTTATTGATTTTATAGATGAGGGGCCCTGCATAATCGACACCGAGGACTTCAAAAGGTGTTGATCCAACAGTTCTATCAAGCGGTAGATTTCCAACTGGTGGGTTATGATAGGCAGTTACTTGGAATCGTTTGCACCCGTAGCAGCTCGCAATCACTTTCTTCGTTGACTGGCGAAGTCTTGGTATCAAGTATTGCTGACGTATCAAAGCCATTGTTAACCCAACTCCCCCATGTAACGTTTGAACGTGGGCATCTTCGATCATTTTCTCAGTGAGCAACTTGCCAGGTGGTACATATATTGAATACAAGCCTTGGATTCTTCCTCTACATTCAAAAAGACCGTTCACGTTTCTTTGAAAGTTAAGCCTTAGCTGTTCGTTCTTAAATTGTTCCGTTTCGATCTGTCTTTCGGTGAATTTCTTCACGACCAACTCCACTTGAACTTCAGTTTCAGTTGTTCTCAGTGGACCACTTTGCTTTACCGTCTTGACAAACTTCGCTTTGCAGTTATTTACGAATCTGGTTACCCAACCAAGAATGCGAACGGATTTCCAAAAGGTGTGCTTTTGTAGGAGCTCATCCACTTCGTCTTTGACTTCGACAGCTGCAGCGAACAAATTCTTTACAAACTTTACTTCCGATTCCGACTCTTTACCGGGTTGTGCAACTATGTCCTCAGGCCATTGATCAGAAGAAGGCAGCCACTCTGGTTCTTTCAACCACGACTCAGGTTGTTTGGTAAACATCCGCTGCTTCCAAGGTCTACAGGATTCTGGTGTGTCCCAACATGTCTCCATTGAATATAATCCTTGGCATTGATTTTCCTTGTTCTGTTCGCGACAAACTGTTTGTAGTTGCCGTTTCCCTTTATCCAATAAAGGGCAGTAGTACTATCTAACCAACCAAAGACTGACGCAACTGGATAGCTCAGAGCGTTCTTGACATTGCCAAGTGTGCTGATACAAGCTCTAATCGTAGGATAGTCAACATTTTTTTCGCAAGTCTCGACTTAACAGCTACTAAACCTTGATTGACTCCCGATTGCTGCACACTTACCTTCTGAACTGGTGTCACCAAACGCGTGAAGATGGACTACTTCAATCGACTCCTCAAAGACGGTGATGCTGCGTGGTACTTCAACCTTTTCGGGTAGGGCATTCTCTAACATTCTCTAACGATCTTGCTCTGATATGGGGTTCCTCACACACCATATTCGCAGTGCTTCTACCATTTCGCTAAACCCCCACTCTTGCCAATCATCATCCGACCGAACTAAGTCTGCCCGTATACCTGGTAATTTGTACAGAGTGCTTCGTACAAAACCCTTTACTTCTTTCAACTTCCTCATGGTTTCTAATATTTGTGCATTTGCAACCAATGTTTCAAAGAAACGGTTGATTTTCTTTACATCGGTCCCAGGTACGGTTGGCAAGGAAATAATGCTCTGTATGTGGGCATTTGCAACTTCACTTTCTTTCCCATACCGCGTCTTTAGGATAGTTTTTGCTCTTTCATACCCTTCAGTAGAAAAGGGCAGACCATCAACAAATGCACGAACTTTGGGAAGAAGCAGCTCTTTAAGGTATGACAGCTTGGTAATAGGGCTGATATCTGCTTTGTCAATTTTTGTTTCGAATTGCCCCCAGAATCTCTGCCAGCCCAAGTGGGTTCCTTGGAATTTAGATATAACTAACTTGGGCAGCTTGGCAGAATTACATTGGCTTGCAGACTTCGTTTTAGCTTCCTCTAATGGTTGTCTGGAAAACGCGTGCACGTACACGCGTACACGTACACGCGTGCACGTGCACGCGTACATGGAGAACGCGTACATGGAAAACGCGTACATGGAAAACGCGTACATGGAAATCGCGTACATGGAAAACGCGTACATGGAAAACGCGTACATGGAAAACGCGTACATGGAAAACGCGTACATGGAAAACGCGTACATGGAAAACGCGTACATGGAAAACGCGTACATGGAAAACGCGTACAATGTTCATTTGTAACGTTAATTAAAACTTGGCGGTTTTATTGGAATTTCTCTTGCAGACCTAGTGATTGTGTCAATGATGGTCAGATCATGGCTTTCGTGAAGGACAACTTCACAGTGGACTACGTAATGTTTAGTACTTTCATTGTGTTCCAACATGCGTCCAGAAAAAGCAGCCGTATTTCCAACTACCTCACGCTATTATCCCATGCACATAAGCGGATAATGCCACTTCTC